TTCCAGATTAATCTTTGCCATCATAAAAATGCCTTTTTTCCCTGCTTGCCACCTAAGCCATCTCCTTTGCTGCAGTTGTGCCTTTGTAATTTCTAAGGCACAGGCTGCCAGCAGTGGATAGCCTAGGTGCAGTGTGTCTTCATTGTATTCTGTCTTCATTTAGCAGTGACCTGGAAGGCACAGGCTGCCAGCAGTGGATAGCCTAGGTGCAGTGTGTCTTCATTGTATTCTGTCTTCATTTAGCAGTGACCTGGAAACAAAACTCTACCTTAGGCTTTTCTTCCAAGAGTCAATGGAGATGTGTGTGTTCAGCTCTGTGCTGTTGTTTTCATCTTCCAGCTACCTTGCCAATGAGGCTGTGTGGCTGGTGTTGGAGTACATGGATGGAGGCTCCTTAGCTATGGTGATCCTTATGAAAACAATGGCTGTAGGACACATAGCAACTGCAATGGCTGTAGGACACATAGCAACTGTCTGTCAGGAGGTAAGGAATCCTTCTGCTTGTGCTTGGCATGCCTTGGAGAGGCTCGACCTTTGAAAGTGCTGCTGAGTGAGTGGGTCCACGTTCAGAGCTTTCTTTCTGCGGTGTTCTTATGCTTCAGAGAAGAAAGGGCATCTGGACTGAAGTGCCTGCTGGTGTCCCTGCCCTTACTATAGTTTCTTCTTTACTCTTATCTACCATTGTTGAACTCTTCACCTCTTTTGCCCTTTTCTTTTCTGCACTTTGCCTCTCCAAGCCTTTGCTCAGAACCATCCTGCATTGCCTTCTTTGTACTTCTGTAAGTGCAAAGGTGCTGCTGTCTGAGTTTTGAACCTACGGCAGAGCCAAAGAGAGACCCTCCTCTCACAGGTCTCAGCTTCAAAGGATGGCATAGCCCCCACCATGGTGCTTGCCGCTGAAAGCTGACGAGTGAGCTACTTCCGAGTCTGCTGTCCAGGCAGCCGTATAACCCTTGTCCTCCAGTCTCCCACCTGACAGGGATCCCTTGGTACCCAAGGCAGGGAGTTTTTCTCTTTTGGCAAGCCCTTGTTTGTCCTCCGGATGGCGAGAGCACATGCACTGCAGCAACGCTCATTCCCACTGGCTTTGCAGGGTACAGTCTTGAGCAAGGACTGATGTTTCCCCCTCAGCAACTAATATGCCTCCCCTTAAAAAGACCCTGCTCTCCTAGGGCTGCAGCAGTGAGATCTTGCTCCTGCCAGTACTCAGTGTTCCTTTGAGATCTGTGAATCCTCAGGAGCATTTTCCTTTTGCGTGTGATGAAGTCAAATCAGGCTAACTTTTGGTCTCCTGTTTCTTCTTTCTCTCCCAGTGCCTGAGAGGCCTGGCTTTCCTTCATGCCAACAACATCATCCACAGAGACATCAAAAGTGGAAACATCCTTCTGGGCCTGGATGGCTCTGTCAAGTTGGGTGGGTATTCCTGGTCAGGCACAGCGCTCGGGGCAGCCGCTGTGGGGCTGCTTTTGAGTGGCTGCCAGGTGCCCAGCAGTGGTGCTGGTGAGAGTGCACAGAGCTCTCCTGCAAGCTCGGGGCGCTGCTGCAAGGTGCTGAGAGGTCTAGAGAGCAACAAGGCATCAGGAGGAACTTTGGTTAGCTCGTGTCCTTTCCGGAGGGAGGGAGGGAGGTTCAATGTAAACCTTCAGATGAAGGAGGAAAAGCCGCGGTGTGAATGGTGGTGGGTTTGTTAAGCGGAGAATTCCCAATTTGCTTGGCTGCAGCCCTGAGGAAAGAGAGCACAGCTGCTTTTCCAGCTCAATACAGCACTGCATCCTGAGACTTGGAGTGAGGAACCCTTTGCCTTGGTTTCTTACTTCAATCCATGTTTGTTTGTTTTTCTCCTCAGCTGATTTTGGCCTTTGTGTTCAGTTCATCCCTGAGAAAAGAAAACCAAGGGCGAGGGTCGGGACCGCTTTCTGGATGGCACCCGAAGTTCTGAGGGGAGTGCCATACGGCCCCAAAGTGGACATCTGGTCCCTTGGCATCGTAGGAATAGAAATGGCCAAAGGAGAGGCTCCGTATATTCGGGAGAACCGTGCCAGGGTAAGGTGCAAATACGCCCAGATCCCAATGCCTCCTGGTCTGTCTCCATAAAATCCCTTTCCCACAACTTCAAGGGGTTCAAACTTTCAAGGTGACACCTGTTGGATGTTGGAATAGCTGGGGCTGCACTGGAGGAGCCCTTTCTTCTTTTGGGAGACAAGGCTCATCTCAAAGCCTCTGCTGGGCAAGAAATTGCCACTGCAGACTGCAGCTTAAAATATGGGGACTAGGTGAGCAACTGAGGATATGGATAAAACATATCGAGTCCCATGTTTCCTTTTTCTTCAGGCTACCTATCTGATACGCACCCAAGGAATAC